CGCGTGCTGGGGGCGGTGCGTGGCAAGCCCCGCCCCGCGCGCTGCGTGCTGGTGTCGGCCACGGTCACGCGCGGCGTGCGCACGCTGATGGAGGCTGAGTTCCCGGGCATGCTGACGGTGCAGGGTGAGGGCCTGCACCGCGGCGTGGCGGGCGCGCGCCATGCCTTCCAGGCGCTGGAGCCGGGGACGGACAAGATGGCGGCGCTGGCGGCGCTGGTGGCGCGCGAGGCGGCGCGCGGGCGCCGGGTCATGGTCTTCGCCAACACGCTGGCCTCCTGCCGCGCCGCGGAGCACGCGCTGGCGGCCGCCGGGCTGGACACCGCCTGCTACCATGGCGACATGCCCGCCGCGGCGCGCGGCGAGAGCCTGCGCCGCTTCGGCGGCGCGCGCACCGGGGCCGGGGTCTCACCCGGCGCGGGGGCCGGCGGGGACGCGCGCGGCGAGGGCGGCGCAGGCGCGGGCGAGCGGGAGGAGGACGGAGCGCCCGCCCCGCCCGTCCTGGTCTGCACCGACCTGGCGGCCAGGGGCCTGGACATCCCGGGACGTGTGGACCATGTGATCAACTTCGACTTCCCCCTCAACCCCGTCGACTACCTCCACCGGACGGGACGAACCGCCCGGGCGGGGTCCACAGGTGTTTTGAGGGGGACAAAGCTGTTGAGTATGGGTTCTGGCGCCAGCCATGCGCGGTCTGATTCTTGGGCACCACAGCCGACGCCGGCGACGCCGGCACCCTCCACTCCATCCAACCCCCTCCTCCCAATGGACTTCAGGGCGCATCACGTCGCTGATCGCCAAGGGCGACCGCGTGCTGGCGGCGCGGATCGAGGAGGCGCTGCAGCGCGGCCTGCCCCTGGACGGCCTGTCGGCCGACCGGCGCGTGCTGCCTGACCACGCCCGGCCCAAGCCTGAGACGCTGGCCCGGCGGGCCAAGGAGCGGCTGGTGGCAAAGCACGAGCGGCGCGGGCGGCGGGGCGGGGCGCGCGACGAGGTGCGGGGCGGCTGGAAGGTGCGGGGCGGGGAGCCGCGCGCTGGGGAGCCGCGCGCCGGGGAGCCGCGCGCAGGACCCCGGGCGGGGTCTAGCGAGGAAGGGGCCGGGCCCAAGAGGTACGGCGGGGGCGGGGCCCGGCGCCCCGGGCAAATGGAAGGCCCCCACGGGCAGGGAGCCCTTTGCCACAGCGCGCGGCCCGAGCCAGCAGCCGAAGCGGGGCAGCGGGGCGAGGGCGAGGCCAGGGAAGACGACTGGCGGAGGCAGCAGGCACGCCAGCACGAAACGATGAAGCAGGAGAACGGGTGACGGAGATTGCGCTGCAGTACGAGCAGCCTGCAGACACGCATCGGCATGTCCCCCACCCTTTGCAACCCCGTTTCTCTCAGTGTCGTAAACAGCATTCTGACACGCACATCAAGAGCTTCGCGACACCATCCAAAGAGCATGGAGCCCATCAGTGCCATCATAATCAGAATGTCAGGGTGTGTGCCACCTTGATGGTCCGTGTATTACACCACAGGCTGGGACAGTGGGAACGGCCTGCACATCCTGATTTTGTCAAGCGCTCAAGGGCCCCCGAAGGGGGGCTGTGCTCATGCACCGATCTCCACCAGCGTCTTGCCGCCCGCCGGCGTCGTCCGCCGCGCATGCCGCCTCGCCGCTCGCTCGGCGGCCATGGGGATGACGCGCGTGCGCACCTCCATCTCCGGGTCTTCCCGCATCATGATCTGCAAGGCCGGTGTCACGTTCAGGTGAGCAAGGAGGCTCGACCTTTCCTCGTGGAGCTGGCCCTCTGGGAAGATTGCCCAGTGCTCAGGTTGACTTCCCACAAGGCCGCACTTCCCATCCTCACCGTGAGGTGGGAGCGGTACTTGTGCAGAACTCCGGACCGCCCGCGCGCATGCATGGAGTTGCGCTTCAGGTACTGGCCCTTCCCGACCCACATCTCGTCTTTGGAGCGACGAGGGGGTTGGACGGGGGGAAGAGATGGGTGATGACCCTTGAACAACTGTGGTTTGTGCCCTCCAGCGCACATCAGCAGTGTGGTGCTGAGGAGTGCCCCCCTGGACTCCTCCAGATTGACTGCTGCCAAGGGCTGCACTCACAACATGATGCGGCACAGCTACACTCCCTGCAGGCTGGCAGGTGCCATAACCTTCACCTGCTTTCGCTCCCCAAAACATGGATCCAATGACCAGCTCACCTATAAGAAGCTTCTGTGGGTCCACGCCATTCTGGTCAATGGCCTTCTTCCGGCACTCGACGATGGCCTCCTCGCAGAGCTTGGCCGCCTTCTTCACCGACATCTGAGGGCGGGGAGGCATGCGCAGCACGGCAGTGAGAAGTGGAATGTCTTGGGGAGAGGTCAGGGCAGCCTCCTAGTGAACAGTCCAGTGGTCAGGGCTGCCCCGCAGTGTGCATTACATTGCCTGACCTTGGAGGCCCTGTGCATCCCTTTGAGCCCAAAGCATCTCCCCCCCTTCACCAGCTGGGCGCTGCACGCACAGCCCTCGCACCCTCCACGCATGCACCAGGCATGGGGCTCTGTCACCCAGGCAGCCCGCACCTGGCACTGAATGATGGCGTCGTGGATGCTCTGGCCGCGCAGCACCTTGACCATGTCGTTGAGCTTGTGGGGGGAGATGTGCAGGTTCTCGCTGAAGCCCTTGGTGTACAGGTTCTCCCCGAAGACACCCTTCTCCTGGAACTTGAAGCGCGGGTCCTTCTTCTTCTTCTTGTACTGCTGCGAGCCTTGTGGCGTGGTCTCCGGCTCTGGGATCGCCACCTGATCCAGAGGATTCAGCGTGGGCGCGGCAGTCGCATAGCAGGCGCGCCACCGTGGCTGTAGGGTGGGGAGGAAGGGTGGGTGCTGGTGTGACCAATGCACAAGCTGGCCTGGGCACATAGAAATGCTATAAATGCATGGAATATATCAAACATCAGTGGCATGTAACCCCTCTCGGGGATGGTTCGATGCCTTCCTACCTGAGTTGCAACACACAGCGGGGAAGGGGAGGCGCTCCAACTAGGCACTGCAGCGACGATTGGCTCGCCCCGGCGTAACGCACACCCGGCCAGGCCAGTGGTCAGCCGACGGAGATAGGCACCGCAACCTGACATTATGTATTTGCGTGCCCACCTCCTGCGCCGATCGCCGATTGCCTTTTACACACAGGCTGGAGGGAGTTGCCGGCCCGCTCAGAGGTATGCAGCGTCGGCAACGGGCTTGTATTAGAAGCCGATTTGATAGGAATCAACTTTCGCTTGATACTTTAATTGTCACGCTCCTATTCCGCACGACGAGCGTGTCACCAAATGCTCCTCTGTGTCCGGCAGGTCTCTCCGTCGTTTCTTCAGGAGGGGCAGGGGGTTAAACTGGAGGAGGAGCTACTGTTCACGGCTACCTTTACAGATCGGCGACAGCGTGTTGAGCTCGTCAAGCAACTTATATATCCCAAAATCGACATACATAGGATTCCAGAGTTTCGACGAGACACAAGAAGACCTCGACTCTCAAACGTTGACTTCGGTTTGCTCCCCAGCCCTTCGTACAAGTATACCCATGCCGTCGTCTCAAGGGCTCATGCCCTGCGACACCAAGGAACCAAGCTCATGCCCTCCTACACTTCCACTCCGGCTGCTGACGCTGCATGACTTGCCCCATGGGGATGGCGTCAGCGCCAGGAGCCTGCAGAGCCTCTTCCGAGAACAGCAGGAGTGAGTGGCAACGCCCCTGCCGCGACGGGCATTCTGCATGGGAATACTATCTTCAGGAGAACCTGGCCTGGCGCCACCTGGGTGATGGCTGGAGTGCCCTACGCGCAGGCTGCGTGTGCGCACGCGCTCGCTGCGCAGCCCCGCCGCTGCGTTTGAATCAGTACCCACCGGCTGGACCCCCGACGTTGAGCACCAGGTCCCCCCCTCCTGCAGGTACCTCAACTACTTCTTCACCAACCTCGACTATGAGCAGATGGAAAGTTTCGTCAAGGTAATCTGTCGTTGCCTCCGGTGCGATGTTGGGCGCTGACGCCTGCTTGCCTGGGAATGTCCTGCGGCGACTCCAAGGATTCACCAGTTCGCTCACCTCTGCCATTCTCCGCGGCACAGGCCTGCCTGGCCTGCACCGGGACCATCGTGTGCACTGGGGTGGGGAAGAGCGGCTTCATCGCGCAGAAGATATGCCAGACCCTGGTGTCCACCGGCACCAAGGCGCTGTACCTGTCCCCCACCGACGCCTTACATGGCGACATCGGCATCCTCACCGCCCACGACCTGCTGGTCTGCTTCTCCAAGAGCGGCGGCACGGACGAGCTGCTGCGCCTCATCCCGTATGCCAAGGTGAGAGGACATGCGCCACGACTGGCTTGCAGTGCACGCGCCGGTGGAAGGGTGTGTGCTCCAAGCTTCAGTCGAGTTGCAGGGCTGGCGAATCCTCCCATACAGCCTCGCTCACCCTACTCCCCCCTCCTCAAACAGGCAAAAGGGGCCAAGATTGTCTCTGTGGCGTCCATCTCCGGCTGCAAGATGGAGACAGTGTGCGACCTGTCCATTAACCTCCCCCTCAAGCGCGAGCTGTGCCCCTTCGACCTGGCCCCCGTCACCTCCACTGTCATCCAAATGCTGTTTGGCGACACGGTGGCCATTGCGCTGATGCAGGTGGGACAGGAAATGGTTGGGAAGGAAGGGCAGCGCTGGGGCCATGTTTGGCGTATAGTAGGGACCCGGTAGGGTGATACAAAGTCGATAGCCGTGTCAGGCGACCAGCGGGATGCGAGACCGCTACCTGTGCTACACCCAATCCTTGCGGTCGAGAATGCCCCAACTGGCGGCGCACCTTACCCTCTAAGCCACCCTTGCTGTCCGCCCACAAGTATCTCACACTCCGCTCCACACAGGCCAAGCACCTCACGCGGGACGAGTATGCAATGAACCATCCGGCGGGCCGCATCGGGCGCCGCCTCATCCTCCGCGTGTCGGACGTCATGCTCTCCAATGGCGACATCCCCATCGTCTCCGCCGACACTGTGGTGGCGGACGCGCTGTCTGAGCTTTCCAGCAAGGGGTAAGTTGGGATTGGAGGGGAGTAGTGGGTGTTACGTGGTTGGAGTATGGTGTGTAGCGGCGGTTGGAGGGGACATGATGAGTATGACCCCCTCCTTGCTGCCAGTTGCCAGGCAGACCCAGGTTGAGTTCTCAGAACAGTGTTTGGTGGCGTATTAGCCAATCAAATGGGCTGAGGCATGCCCTGCGATGATCCCAACCCACACCACCATCCGTGTAGGTGTGGCTGCGTGCTGATCGCCGGCGCCGACCTGAAGCTGCAGGGTGTTTTCACGGATGGAGACTTGCGACGTGCCCTCCAGGTGGGTTGGATGATGGGAGGGATCCGCATTTGGCAGGTGTGATCTGGTTACCTTTTCCAGATGAGGCCGGCATGGAGGGCAGTGCTGCAGAGCACGCGAGCGGCTGCCGACCCCTATCCAAACCCCCCATTCTGCACGCAGACCATGGGCTACTCGGGCAACCTCATGGGCACGCGGGTGGGCGACATCATGACCACCTCGCCCCGCACCGTGCTCCTCTCCCAGAAGGCCGCCCAGGCCATGGATGTGAGTGTGCTTGGACGAGGATATGGGAGGGAGGGGGGGGGCGGGTAATGAAGCATCCAGCGCCTGCGCAATGTTTTGATGACGGGTTGTCTGGCCTTCACCTGACACTACAATCCCTTTGTCGACCGATCCATGCCTCAATACCATAGGACATGGAGACCAGCCCCAAAGTGGCGGTGCTCCCCGTGCTGGATGACCAGGGCCGGGTGTCAGGACTGGTCACCCTGCACGGCCTCATCAGCGCCGGGCTGTAGAAGCTTCTTCGGAGGACCCCGTCAAGTGGAGGGCTTCATGCATTCTTTCACGCAGAATGGCCGGCAAAGCATCGCCAGGAGCGTCACGCCCTTCCCATACCTTTGTAGGGGCCGCGTCCCCAATCATCTGGTGCAGCACCCTCTCGCCATCACTCTGCGAGCGTGATGCTGTCGAGCTCCCTCTTGAGGCCGTCATGTTGGGAGGTATCCCTGGTGAGCCCACGCCCCCATCCCCCCATGCGTGCACCCTGCCGGGCACCGTCCGATGGTATTGCACTACACCTTCTATGGCCCGCACACGTTGGCCCCTCTATCGTACATGCTTGCCTTTGGCACCCTCCTGATAGCCTCTTCAGCTGCCCCTCCCATGCCAAGAATCTCCGGCCATTGGCCAGTCTTTGCACCCCTGGTGCCAACGTCCTCCAGCGCTTGCCCCGATGCTGTGCGCATGCATGCGCCTGACTCCTTGCCGCCACTGAACTCCCTTCATTCCTGCACCTCACGCCTGCCCATGCCCCGCCGCGTAGTACGCCTTGGAATGCCCATTCAAACACACATGCCGGTGATAGACATGGGGAAGGGGGCTGGTGCGCAATGCCACACTCCCTCCACGCCCATTCTCAGGCACCCTCGTCGCTGCTCCCAGAGTCGATGTCCGGCAGGGAGCCGTCGTCACTGTCGCTGGCAGGCTCCAGGGGGAGGGTCTTGGGAGCAGACAGCCCGCGCGGCGCGGGCTCTGCTGCTCGCTGCGGCGCCGAGGCCGCCGGACCAGTCGTTCCCGCCGTGGCTGGGCGCTTGGCGGCCACCTCCTCCGCCGCGCCACTCTCCTCGGGCGGCCCTCGCTTCTCGGCCTCACGCACCTCCCGGGCAGCGACGGTCACCGCAAAGTCCCCCGGCCCTCCCAGGACCTGCTGCGCCTGCCGCGCCAGCGCGTGTGCCCCCGCTGCAGGGCCCTCGAGCCCCTGGCCGTCTCCGAACTCGCTGCTGCCGTCGGGGTGCGCCAGCTCCATCGGCGCACCTCCCGAACCGCCCTCGGTCGCCCCCGCTCTGTCCGCCGTGGAGTTCGGCCTCGCCTCGCCCTCGGGCGACACCAGCGGCGACCAGAAGGAGGGGCGGGGGAGGGCGACGGCCTGCGGCCCGCCCTGCGAGCCGTACTGCCCCCGGCCCGCGCCCGGCGCCAGCCCGGCGCCCGCGCCCGTCGGCGCCGCGCGTGGGTGCAGGAGGGCCTGGAAGGACAGCAGGGCGTCCCGGGCCAGGGCCCTCAGCCCCGGGTCCTGCCCGCCAGCGGCCAGGCAGCGGCGCAGCGCGTCCAGCGCCGCGGGGAGGAAGGGGGGGCGGTGCAGGCGGGGGCTCAGCACGCTGGCGCGCAGCGCGCGCAGCGTGGCGCCCTCCAGCCGCACGGCGTGGGGAAAGGGCGCGCCGCGCGCGCGCGCCGCCTCCCGCGCGTCCATGCTCAGCGTCGCCAGGTGGATGCACAGCGCGTCGGCCTGGGGAGCGGGGAGGGGGGGAAGCAAGGCGGGGGCTGGACTGAGCGGAGGGTTTTGGTGCGATCCAGTTGACCCGTCCAGAATGCCACCACCGCGATGCAAGCCCGCCGCCGGCCGCGCAGATTTCTGCATGACCCCCTCACACCTCACGCCCAGGCACACCCACATCGCCTCCACCAGCTACACACCCGGTCCCGCTGGTCCGACGCCAGGGCATGCCCGCAGCCGGCGAGCAGCGAGCCCAGCGCGTCCAGCGCCGCCGCGCACAGGTCCACCCGCTGGTGCAGCGAGCGCGACCCGGCGGCGTCAGCCACGGTTGCGGGCGCCGCGCGGGTTGCAGTCGCGCCGCCCGTCACCGGCCCGGCATGCCCGGCGGCGCCATACGCATCGGCTGCCACGGCCGCCAACAGGCTGGGGCCGAAGTCGGCGGCCAGCGCGACCCCGCCCACGCTGGCCAAGGCCCGGGCCGCGCCGTAGAAAGCCTCGCGCACCTGCGGTGGATGGTGGGCAAAGGGGCCCGAGCGGTCGTACGTCATCGGCCTGCGCATGCTGGCGGCCGGCGGCGTTGGCCGTCCCGGTCCGACGCAGGAGCACACTCATGTCTGACGCTCCTCCCCGCCACAACCAAACGCCCCCGGCTCCCAGCCCCACACATTCAACCCACCTCGGGCGCCTGCAGCACGAGCGGGCGGTCCTCGCCGGCATCCGACCCGCGCCGCGCGTAGGACCCCAGAGCGTCGCCCACGGACAGTGTGAGAGGCACGGCGGCCGGCCCCGCGGCGCCCAGCATGTGCCGAACCAAGCCCAGCGCGCCGGCGTGCATGGGCGCCAGGCCGCGGCACAGCGCGGCGGCCTTGGTCAGCGGGACGCCCGGGCGGCTGATCAGGAGCGCGTCGTCCAGCGCCAGCGTGCGGCGGGCCAGAGCCAGCAGCGCGCGCAGCGGCAGCGGCACGGCCACGGGAAAGGAGGAACGCAGGAGGAAGCCGGCGGTGACGAGCAGACGCACGAACACGTCGCACGCCGCGCCAAAGGCGGGCAGGGACAGCACGCCGCCGGGGAGGCCGGGCAGCGTGGCGGCCGAGGGGTCGCACAGCGACCTGTAGGGATTGGGGTGTGTGTGAGTGAGTGTGAGTGAGTGTGAGTGTGAGTGAGTGTGTGTGTGTGTGAGTGAGTGTGTGTGTGTGTGTGTGAGTGTATGGAGCAGCAAGGCGCAGGGGTGGTGGGGCGAGAAACGGCGAGTTCAGAACAGTAGGCAATGCGGCGATAGCCGATGTTAGCTGACACGCAAATACACAGAGAGCACCAAGCGGCACTCGCTGCATGGCGAGGTTCCGGCCCGCATGATAGTCCATCAGGAACCACATGTTGGTGCAACCAGCCCCTCCACAGCCGCCTACCACTCTCCACACCTGGCTTCCTTGACGGCAGCCTCTGCCTCCAGCCCAGCATACAGGACGCCCAGGAGGTCGTGCGCAGAGGCCAGCAGGGTCTGCATGGCCGCGGCCCAGTCCGCCGCGGCGCCGGGGGAGGCCGGGAGCAGGGCCCAGCAGCGCGCCACCGCCAGCCAGACGGGGCGGGGGAGCGCGGCATCGGTCAGGGCCGCGCCCAGGGCGGCGCGCAGGTCGCCGGCCTGCTGGCGCAGCGACTGCGGCAGCGCGCGCTGGACGGCGGCCAGCGCGCGCAGCGCGCAGAGCGTGGCCGGGTGGCCGCCATTCTCGGCCAGGCAGCGTGCCGCCAGCGGGGCCAGGCGCGAGAGCAGCGGCGCGGCGGCGCGAGCCAGGCCCAGGGTGGAGTCCTGGGACCGCTCCACGCGCGCTGCAATGGTGGCCGCCAAGCGCCAGGCGGGTGCGACGTCTTCGTCCCAGGGCGCGGCGCGGATGGCCGCGTGGGCCGCCGCCACCCAGTCCGCCAGGCCTGCGGAGAAGGCGGGGGCGCCGCACTCGGCGGCGAGCAGGGCCGCGGCGCGGAAGTGGGCCGCCCTCGAGCCGGTTCCCTTCTGCGGTGGTGATATAAGGGGACGGAAATAGAAAGAGAAGACTGGTGGGCATGGACAGTGCAACCCCTGGGAGTGGAGCCACTCTGAGGCACAGGATGGGGCAGCCAGCACCTGGGAGATGCATCCCTGTGCTCTACCCAGCGAGGTTTCTCCCAGCACTCCACATCACTCCACAGATGCATACTCACCACCATTGAATAAACCTCTGAGCCCTCACCGTTTTAGATGCTGGAGTACCGACTCCCTTGCCGACACGCTGCGCAAACTTGTCCACCGCACCTGCAGACACCCTGGACAGCCCCGGGGCCAAGAGATTCAGTTGTTTGCATGCTGTCTCGAGTGCGAGGGAGTCTGTGGTGGAAGCCTGCACGGCCTGCTGGAACACCTCGTCCAGCAGGCTCATGGTGACGAGGACCCGCTGGGTGAATCGCGGGCAGCGTCGCTACCTTTGCAAGGTGGCAAGCATAGTGAGTACTGAAACTAGCATTCAAAGGTACACTGTCCCATCTGCCCATCCTCTTGCACATTCATATGCATGGCAAAATCGCGCGCGCGAAGCCGCAGGCCGACCCAATTCCTTCGTTTGTCAATTCTGGTGGGCACCATTATCACACGGAGCCGTCTGTGCCGAGGAAGGCGCATCTGTACAACACGCCCGATAGTAAGAGACTCGAATGGTATCGGGATGCTCGGACCAGTATGATGATCCCATAGTTTGTACCGAGACAGCGGGCTGCGATGGCGTCCCTAGACGACCTGGTGACGACAGCCGTGGAGGTTGTCGCCTTCTGTGGACCCTCAGGTAGGTGATACATGGTCCAAACTAGCGCTTGAGTGAACTATCAAGCGTATGTGCTGCAATGTCCAGGTCTTTGGCAGAAAAGGAGGGCAGGGTTGTCGAGGCGTGCCCTTCCCATCCTTCCCACAGGCTGTCGCCTGGCGGAACTGTGGGGGGCACTGCAGGCGCATTACGGGCGTTCGCACCCCGGCTTGGATTTCCTGACCCCGGGACTCCAAGAAGCGTTGCTGGGCAGGTTGCATGAGATGGGGCCCGAGATCCGCTTCCTCCGCGACTCGAACCCCGGTGGCGACTCGGAGGTCACCCCCCCGACAGCGGGGGAGGGCTCCTACATCGACGGGGTGGTGTTGAAGGTGAGGGGCGCGTGGTGGACTGGAGGGCAGGTGGCCCCGCAACGTCTGGGAGGGAGTCCGACAGGCAGGGAGCCCCCTGCACCTGGCCTGGCAGCCTCTGAGCCTGAGCGCTTTGCCCTCCCCCACCCCAACGCTCGCCTGCCTAACCGCCTCCCCCTGCCCAGGCCTCGGACGACCTCCAGGACGCAGCAATGGGTCTGTATGACTCGCGGCTGAACGCGCGCTTTGCTCTGAGCAGCATCCAGATGCAGACGCTGCGACTCGTAGGGGCGGCGGGGACCCAGGGTGCGCTCCAGAGCGAGCTGGCGGCGACGGTGGGCTCAGAGAACCGCAACTTCTTCTATGTCATACGGGTGCGACTGTGTGCTGGGATGGATGGATCTAAAGGGGGTGCTGGGGCTGGTGGGGCAGAATGTGGTGTGGGGATGAGAAAGGAAGTGTGCTGGAATTAAGGGATTGTCTGGGCACTGCAAACCCAGGTTCCTCTCTTGTTGGGAGGCAGATTATTGCCTGGAGCCGATACCTGCCGCGGGGCTACCTGATCGCCTCACCTCATCTCAGATCTGACCTTGGGACACGCCTTATGCAGAATCTGGAGCAGCGAGGGCTCGTCACAAAGCGACCGGCGGTGGTGGCGACGCCCCGCACCAACAATTACTTCAGCAACCACATCCAGACCAATGTGGTCCATCTCCAGCGCTTTGCACCCGACCTGGGAAGGGACACTCGCTTGTTGGTGAGTTTGGGGGTTTGAAAGGTCCGGCAACTGCGTCCCTGTGGAGAGTCTCACCATGGCAGGCCTCCTGAACTCTACTCCCCCAGGATGCACAGTATCAGCAAAGCCAGGTGGAGCCGCCAGCTGGCCAAGCAGGTGCTGGCAGGGAGGCCAACCCTACCACTCCGGCCTCCACCCTTGGGGCAGTCGACGACGGGGCCTACTTCTCTGCCATTTCCACCAAGCTTGCAGAGCTGCCTGACAGCACTGCTGTCGAGAGCGAACTCAAGGTGAGCGGGGCTGCTGGGGGGTTGGGGAGTGGAAACAACAGCCTGAGGGTTTATATTTTGATCCTTCATCTCCAGTGACTTCCTGAAGTCCTGCTGCAATCATGTGACCTCCCAGGTGGCGCTTGGATTTGTGGGAACGAGAGGCCACAGGCTGTGGCGCCGCCTCAAGGGTGCGCTCGTCAAAAAGGGGTGCCTGGAGGAGTTTATCGGCCAGTCCGGCTCTAAACCTGTCAAGTGCATCAGGTAAGTTGGCACTGGGGAGGAGGAAGGGGACAGGGCTGGATGGGATCCTGTGCCTTGTGATGAGTTTTCGGCACCAGAATGGGCCTTACATCGCATGTGCAGGCAGAGCCCTGCTGCTTCCCTCTGATGAAGGGTCAGCCATCAGGCCTCGCCTCCCCTCGATCCTGCTACAGGCTACTCCAGGCTTGGACGCCGCATAGCGATGATGAGGCTGGCTCGGACGAGGAGCTGTCACTGCAGATGCAGCCTGGCGGCGGCCAGTGGCTGACGGGGCGCCAGGTGGCAGAGATCACTTTAGACAGGCAACTCCTGCAACACATCCTGGAAGCTGGTGCGCAACAGGGATTACGAGTATGGCCTCTTTTGCAGTAGGCTGAGGGCTTGCTGGGTGAGTTCAAGGAGCTGCTCTTGCAAGTTCCAACCTGGCGATGGGTTGCCTGAGGTTGCGATGTGGCGGCAGGTCGCGGGCTATATCTCGGTGATGCCTTGCATCAGAAGAGCATTGCCGAGGTTTTGGAGTAGTATGGAGGCTCTCCGTCTTGAGAGTTCAGATGAGGCTGTGCTGGGAATGCCCCCCAAAACATTCACGCCTCCCTTGGTGACTTCATGTGCTTCTAGATTTCATTGCACACATGCCCCACCACCCTGCGCACCCAACCCACCCATCAGGTCCCGAGGGCGCCACGGTGTCGGAGCTTCACGAAGCGCTGGCCCTGAACTCCAAGCGCAATTCCCACCGCCTGCGGGAGTTAGAGCGCCGCTTCGACCTGAAACCCACCACCTCCAACCAGGGCCGCATGCTGGTGGGCAAGTACCGTGCCACGCCCGCCATGCTGGCGGAGTACAGCGGTACAGTGGGCTCGGAGGCGGGGGCAGCGGCGCACACCACGACGGAGGAGTTCCAAGCCGCAACGCCTGGCGCGGCAATCGCCCTGACTGCGACGGACTTGCCTGACCCACTGGGTATGCCTGACGCGCCGGGCGCCGCAGCGCCGCCCGGCGCCCAAGTGACCCCCACTGCCCTCCAGGAGGAGGAGCCCGGGCCCGCGCCGCCTGGGGTGCAGGAGGCAGCTCCGCCCGGCACACGCAAGGCCTGCGGCGAGCTGCACCACCTGCGCATGGACTGGATCGTGGAGGAAGTGGGCCGCGCGGGGTTCATGCTGTCGGCCGAGATCGCGCGCTTCCTGACCCGCCGCGAGGCCGAGGTGACCGGGGTCCCCAGGGACGCGCCCCCTGACCGCAAGACGTGCACGCGCGTGGTGGACCGCGCGGTGGCGGCCGGCAAGCTGGCGGTGGGTAGGGAAGCGCGGAGTGTGGGGTGTGACAGAGGCTGGGGCCCAGCGTGGGCGGTGGTGCTGTGGGACGTCGGAAAGGACGTCGCTTGCCTCGGCGCTGCACAACAGCCACAGGGCTGGGATGGGTCCAACCCCATGCACATGCTTCACCGAGGACATCCATGCACGGCCATGCACATCCCCCCTCCACCCTCCCTCCCCGCCCAGGTGCTGTCGGTGAACATCCCCTCCAAGCATGGCTGCCTCCAGAATCGAGCGCAGCTGGTCCTGGCCCCGCCAGAAACCGTGCCAGACGAGGCATTTGTCACGCGCGTGTTCAGGCACTGCAAGGCCTACTCCCACCACGCCCACTCCAGGGGCGCACCCAACTCGGTCGCCAGCCTGGCGGCCAAGGCCATGGACATGGGTGCGTGGATGGGATGGAGGCTCTGGGTGCCGGGGAATGGAGAGATGGGGCACACCGCAGCAGTGGGGGGTTGCCTCCTGCGCTGCAGGTCTACGAGAGCTGCTGTCGCGGGCAAGTCACCCGTTATGCATGGTAGGGCCACAGGAACTGTGCCCTGCCCCGGCACGCCACACTCCGCTCCCAACAACCGTACCTTAGGCACCCCCTTGCCCCAAGTGGAGAGCAAGGGACTGCTTGGCCTGTCCAGGGAGGGCCGGCGTCACCCAGGCTTGGACCTGGCTGCGGGCAGCGAGGTGGACTGGGTCCCACAGGATGGAAGGGCCTGGTTCCAGACCTGCAGGTTCTGGATGTCTGCTTTGCATGCGTTGTGTGGCCTTGCGAGGCTCGCGCGTCTGATGCCGTACGCGCCGAGATGGGCAGGCTTTGCGCTTGACATGACGTGCTAAAGCTCCCCCAGTCCGGCTCCAACCCCAGCCGCTCCCCATGTGCACCGCACGCAGGTGCTGAACCGGGCGGAGGCGCTGCGACAGCAGATAGCCAACGGCTTCCAGATTGGGAAGATGGTGCGGGCGCGGACCCTGCACGTCGCCATCCTTGGCCTTGTTCTGCGGGGAGATGAGTGCGCCGCCGGCGGGCCTGGCGCAGGCCTGGCGGCGCGAGAGACCAGTCTTCTCAGCTTTGAGCCAGGTGACGGTCGCGCCTTGACGCAGCTGGCAAGCCACCAGTCGCTCTACATCGTGACGGCTCGGCCGGAGGCGCTGGCGCCTGCCCGCCAGGAGGCCTTCACCCTCGACCCCAGCGCCGAGGAGCACAAGTGGGTTTGTGAGGGTAGGAGGCATTGGCCGGCAGCATGGTGTGGCCCAGTGCGCAAGTTTTGACAGCAGTTGGTATGCAGCAGGGCATGTGGCGGCATTTGCACTTGGGCGTGCGATGAAACACCTGCTGACACCCATCCCCAGGTACGTCCTGAGCTCTGTGACAGTGTGGGAGCACATGTCAGTCCAGACCTTTCTTCAGGTAGGCTAGGGTTCTAGTCGCATGCTTGCTGTGGTGACATTTGCATGCACCAAGACCCTTGCGAGGATGGGTTGTTGCGGGAGGGGTCAGCATGCAGAGGGTGGTCCTGCGGCGCTGAGGCCTGCCGGCCTGAATTCATGGCCCACGCATGACCCTCTGCCTCATCGCTCCCCTGCGCGCCAAACGCTGCACCCGCAGATCATCGGCAGCCAGGCCGAACAGGATGGGCTGGTGAGCCTGGCTGCCTCGGGAAGAACGCTGGGTAAGTGGCCATGTGATGCACTCTGCAGGGACAACCTTGAATACAAATCTGCTGAGCCTGGCCGAGGCAGGAATGCATGATGTCCACTATCCCTCCCAAAATCCTCGGCAGCTCAGCTTGCTCCTTCACCTCCCACCCTGCAGCCAGTCTGACGCGGGAGGAGAGCTCCTGGCTGTGGGAATCTCCCGAGGCGCACACGCGGTGCCACATTGCGCTGAGTCAGCTGCTGGACCTCCTGTGCCGCATGGGGCTCCTGAGCTCAGGTCGGCAGCGGCATGAGAAACCAGAGGTCGTGCATTGCTGAGGTGGTTGTGTGCAGGGCTGTCGCCATGATTTTGCCAGGTGTGTGCCACCTGGCAGTGTGCGCGTTCCGGCACTGCCAGAGATGCACATTCACGCCAACCATGAGGTCCCTCGAACCTTCCCGCCCTGCGCACCCACCTCCCCTGCAGCCGTGCCCCTGAGCAGCAAGAGTCAGTCTGCTGCGACAGCGGGTGCTTCCGCCGAGAACCTGTACTATATCAACACCAGCGCTTGTCTGGAGCGCTTGGGTGAGGAGGCGGTCAGTAGTGTGCGATGTGGGCAAGGTTCTCATGTACATTTGGCGAGGCGAAGAGTGCGGTGGGGGCTCACAGCAGTGAAGACACTCTCAAACATAAACTCCTGCCACCGCAGAGGACAGAGCCCTCGAGACATTCTCGCTGGAGACACCGACGGGGGCTGATGCATACTGGTCTGCACTGGAGGACGCCGCTCTGGAGACGGGGGCCGGCAGGCGGGGTCACCCCAGCATGACTTCCCGCCTGGCCTCATGCTTCCCCTTTGACCGTGCACCTGAGGTGAGCTGCTCGAGCGGTGTGGGACGGATGGCAGGGTTGACTTGTTGGCTCGATTTTTGAACAGCAAGCCTGGCACCTGCTCCAAGTATCGGGTGGCATCAGGTGGGCCTGGCTCACGGGGGGGCCCCCACAATACCCCCTCCATCCCACAGGGACTCACGGACAAAGCATGGCTGAGGAGGAGGGCACTGTCTGCACAGCAGCAGAGCGCCCTCCTGGTGAGCTGGGGGAACGCTGTGCATGGCACCCTGGGCATGGCGGCAGGGTATGGGCGGGGAGCAGACAGCATGCTCGGGCCGGCTACATGGCCGTGCCTCCTGTGCCGCTCTCACACATGCCTTGTCTACCTTCTATCGCAATGTCAGTCACGCCTGTATCTTTGCATGTCCGTCTGCAGGCGGCTGTGGGGGAGGAGGGGCTCGCCCACCTCAGCATTGGGCGCTGCAGGGAGCTGGCGGCGGACCTGGACCTGCACGTGGACGCGGTGAGTGGGAGGTCGTGGTGCCTTGGGCCCTGTGCATGAGGCTCAGCAGGGCATGCAGGGGAAAGTATGGGGTGCTTGAGAGTCTTGCATTCGGTTACTGGGCTCCTTTGCCCAGCTTGGCATCGGCAGGTCGCCAGAACATCCCCCAGAATTGCCTTCCGGACCAAATGTGTCTCCTTCAACCATCCTGTGCCTTCCTCCCCAGGTCATGGCATTCGTGCGGAACCGCAAGGCCCGGCTGCGCGCGGAGAGGCTGCAGGGGCTGGAGGGCTGGGGCCTGGGACCCAGGGTCTCTGCAGCTCACGGCTCTCGCCCCGCCGGCCTGCCCCTGGCTCCCCAGGCAGCACAGCGGGGGCGAACGGACCGCACCTCCTCCAGCTCCGGATCTGGGAGCGCCTCCGAGTCTGACTCCGACTCAGACGTGGCATCGGGCGGGGAGGAGGCCGTGGGTGCGCTGCGCCTCCCGCCCAGCGCGCTGTTCTTCGAGGCCCCACGCCGCAAGCAACGCTGGCACCAGGCGGAGGACCGCCAGCTTCTGCGTGGCTGGGCAGGGTGAGGCTCATCGGTGGGGTCTGTATGACTTTGTTGGTTGCTTTGCGAGGGGCGCTGCGAATGCGCCGACCTGGTCCACACCCGCTTGCCCAATGAAGCTGGCACCAGACATGAGGAGGGGAAACATCCCATGCCCATTCCTGTGTTCACCTTGCCCACCATCCAGCAACCTTTACCTCTCTCCACAGCTTTGTGGCGGCACACGGGCCAGAGAAGATCCTGTTCTGGAGGTCCGTGCCAGATCGCCCGCCTGGCCTGCGCACAGCCTCCCTCAGGCACCGGCTGAAGGTGCTGCAGCAGCACCCCGACACAGCGCAGGCCATGGCCAGGATCAAGGAGCTTGCAGGTGGGATAGCGGGGGACGAGCTGAGACAAGAATGGGTTGAGGAGAAATCAGGAAGGGAGGGCATTCCCATTCCCGTGCGGCATTGGACGTGCCATATTGACGAGAAGGGAGCCAACATGGCCACCATGAGGTTGGCCTGCACTGGCTTTGCTGTATCTGTGCAAGCTTCTGATCATGCCAAGGACCCTCTATATGTGAGGCATCCCATCTGTGGCCTTCAATCCCACTCATCTCAAATGCGATGCAGGAGCAATCTATTCGCGGCGACTCGGTGAGCTCAAGGAAGAACCTGATTCAGAGTCTGTGATCCCGCCCACCTCCGCCGTACCTGTCCAGGACGTCATGCGAGCTCCAGATGATCTGGCAACGGGAGATCCTGGCATGGCTGCAGGCCCCGATTCATCTGCAGAGCGACAGCCGGACAGCAGCCTGGCTACCGCAGATGATAGGCATGCGTCCCTGGTCACCCCCAGCGATGACCGAGAAGGAGAGCAGGGCAGCGACGCGCCAGGCGCCAAGCGCCAGCTCCCCAGCGGCTCCCTGCCCTCCTCGGCCAGTGCCAAGCGACCTCGCCGCTCGGCAGACGCCCTGGAGCCCGAGATTGCCGCCCTGATCGAGGCCGTGGCGGCCGCCGCACCTGGGCAGTACAAGCATGCCTCAGCCCTGCCCCCGGCCTGGAAGAAGGCCATTGCCGCACACCGCCAGTCCCTCGAGCGGTGGCGGGAGGGCGAGGACGGAGGGAGGAGGGGCCTGGCCGGCTCTGGCCCGGCAGGGTCCTTGGGAGGCGGGCGGGCGGGGGAGGAGGAGGAGGAGGAGGACGAGGAGGAGGAGGAGGGCGGGAAGCCGACTGGCAGCCCGCTCCCGGGCGGCTTCCAGGCGCTGGCTCGGATTGTGCTGGGACCCTCACAGGGCGAGGACGACGCGGAGGTGGCGGGGGAGGCGGGTGGGAGTGCAGAAGCGGTCGGATCGCTCCTCCCTGGGTCGAGGCCCGCCCCGTCAGCAGCCGACGCAGCAGCCATCGCGCTGGGCGTGCTGTGCGAGCTCGACCCGGCATGCTCTGCGGCGCCCCCGCCCGCCCTGGACGTGGTGTCGCTGCTCGGGCGGCGGCTGGGCAGGTCTCAGATCCGAGCCGGGGTGCGCCTGCTGGTGCGGGCCGGGGCCGTGAACCCGGTGGGGTCGGCCAGCAACCCGCTGCGCATCAGCCCACGCCTGAAGTCGTTGATAGGGGTGTGTCTGGGGGGGTCCTGGGGTGGCGATCACTCTGGGCCTGGAGCTATTGTGGGGCTGGGGGGCCTTGTGAGGGGAGTGCTGACCACGGGCAGAGGGAGTATGACATGGCACTGCATGCTCGGACCGGGCTCCGCATGCATGTCCATCATGTTCCTGCGCATCAGCGCTCACGTGGTGTCCCTCCTACTACTCACCCGCTGGCCCCATCTCTCCCTCCAGATGCCGCCGGTCTTCTTGTCGTCAACAGACTCACTGCAGCGCTCCAACGCCTCACAATCCTCCCCTGCATCCGTCCTCCTCGCCATCTCCCAGGCAGCGGAAGGTATGGCGCTCGGGTGTTGGATCCAACCCCATGCGCAAGCCGGCCGAGGGACCGCGACCTGGGCTGCCTCCGGGACCCCTGTCCCACGCAATGAGCATGCACTCTCTCGCTCACCAGAAGCCTCCATTCGCACTCTCACCTCGCTCCAGGGCTGGCCGCCGTGCGGCCGCTCCGGGTGCAGCTACACCCCAACGTCCCGGCGGGCACAGACCCGGAAGCCGCGCAGCAGCTGGGACACCTAGACGCTGACATCAGTGTGGTCGTGGAGCCGAGGCAGGAGGCGCCGGCAACCCTCGCGCCGGCAGTGGAGGAAGCCACTTCACCAAGAGTAGCGTGCATGACCGCCGCCCCCTGGCTGACGCACGACGGGCGCCTGAACGCGACCCTCTGGAAGGCCCTGGCCGCCAGAGCAGTCGAGGCTGTGGCAGCCAGACCTGGTGAGGCATGGGGGAGACGGTATCCGGCATGCTCGTGCGCGGCAGCCAGGAGCCTGTGCTGGAAACGTGCAGACCCCATTCTCTGAGATCGGCGCTTACCTGGCTCATGTGCAGCTTCCCGTGCCTGTTGCAATTGGTTGCACTTGTGCCATCCCAGCAACCTGCCACCCTCCTCCCCAGGCATTCCGTACCGAGAACTGGTGAGCAAGTTCCTCATCGTTGGCGAGCCCTCTGCGGAGGCGCTGATAGACGCCCTCTGCTTCCATGGCGTCCTGGCACTCGAGGGGGCAAAAGGTGTGACGTCGCCCACCTCTGTCCTGGGGTCGTGTTTTTCTGCACACGTCAAGGAGCACGGTGCCGACGTCCCGGGAGAGGCAGAGAGATATGTCGTGCTGCCCAAGGGGTGGTTGGGGAGACTGAATGCCGCGAGGCCATCGCTAATGACTGCTTAGCTCTTGCGGCACATGTTGTGTTGTTGCTCTCCGTACTGCCCAACTTGCACCAGTGCGGCAGGCACTGGTGGGGTGCAATGAATTGTTATACATGCCACTTATCGCCAGACTGCTGTCGAACCTGGCAGTACTTTTGTATGTAAATGATCACAAGGTTTATTGCACAGACAAGGTCCCAATGCCTGCCATGCTCGCCCCTTGGGGAAAGTTTGGCCATTCATACTCCAGAGGCCGACAGAGTATACGAGGCATGCAAGGCGGCATCTTAATTCACTCCCTGCCTCCCAGTAGAGCAGGAGATGCGTTACGCCTCTGACACTCTTGCACCGCGAGGTTCGCCTCCATTGGAGCAGCACAGCCCTGGCGGCAGGGGCATCCAGGCAGACCTGCAGGGGGTGGTCAGAAGTTGGTGTGGGTGTCTGACGGATCTGATAATTTGAGAGGATTCCACACTCCTTCAAGGCACTCGCTGACGCGCCTGGCCTGCATCCCCAGCTCCATTGGCAGACAGATTGCAATCGACCCTCAATACACCTGTAGCCCGAGCAGTCGGGGTCGTAGCACTTTTGGGCAAAGTGCCCCGAAACAAAGTTGACGACGTAGAAGGCATGGTTGCTGGTGTGGCAGCGACCAATGTTCTCGCAGTAGTGGCATCCAGGGCCTGCGGCGTGGAGTTAAGAGCGACGTTGGGGTACTGATTGCTATGCTGCACCAGTCATTCTCGCACCAGGGATGTCCCCAAGGTCTTAAAAGCACCTGCGCATTGCACACACAAACAGATGAGCAGCACCCAGCGCAGCACACATGGATGAGCGAGCGGCCAGCTCCTCCCTTCTGGCACCTTGACTGCAACCCCTGATTAGCACGCAAACTACCCCTCACCCCGATGCCACGCACCCGCGAGCCCATAGGCGACATGGCCCTGTTGGCCGCAGAATGCCAGGGTCCTCACCCTCGTCGTCAGCTGGCCAGCCCTGGCCGTGGCCATCCTTTCCATAAAGGGTATTGCCTCCTTGGCCAGCACCTTGAGCTCTGCAGCAGGGGCAAAGGGGCCATGGTTTGGCGCCGATGCATTGAATAACAGCTGTGAATAGGCTGCAAGGCAGAGATGGAATCTGACCCAGCGACGGTCCCTTGCAGCGCCAAAGATGGACACCCAAGGGTCCATGGCAGGCACCTGGGGCCATCGTTGGGGGCCTGCGTCGCGCTCATCCAAAGTGTACACCGGCAGCCAGTGTGCAGCGCTCCCACCCCTCCACTCATCGGCCCACAAAACACCGCCATCTCCCCCCTCCCCCCTTTGGCCCAGTCTCTGCCTGCCTTCGACAAAAGCGGCAGGCAGCGAGTCGTCCCGGCCCTCCTGCTTCCAGCAAACGCGCGGGGGGGCGCCAGGGACAGAAAGCACCTGCCCCGTGCGGCTCACAGCCCTCCCAGGTCCCCCGCTGGCGTCATGCAGGGCGCAGGGGTCTGAGACCTGGCGCAGAGGGGTGCAGAAGGAGGGACATCATGCGTCGCATGCAGCGTGAGGCACAGTGGATGCCTGGGGAGGGGGGGGGTATTGCCCCTGTGCCTGGCCTGCTATGCGCGCCCCCCACCTGGCAGACCCCTGGCGAGGCAGGTGACCTACCATACAGCCACCGAGGGCCGCTCCATGTGCCAGTCCCCAGAGTACTCCTCCCACCTGGAGCAGGGAAACCGGGCCACGTACATGCCCCACCAGGGCCTGCATGAAAGCCGTCTCCGGCGGGACCCCTTGGCCGTGCAGGGTCTGCAGTACGGCGGTCTTCCCGCCCTTGCACGACCCCGCCATGCGGAAGTGGCGGTTCCTACGTGGGCGGGGCATGCGGGCGTGGGTGTGGCCTTGCTGTTCTGAAGCCTCCAGGCAGTGATGCATGGGCCAAACAGTGAGCGGCGTCCGACACATCCCCTCAGACCCACAACATGCCGCCGCCCGCCTCGCCTGGTGTACACCGCGGTGTCGACGAAGGGGGAGCGCACCGGCTGCCCGGTGCGGGCGTCCAGGCCCTGGACCACCGTCAGCTCCGTCCCGCTCGCCAGCAGCACGCTGCGCACGAAACGGCCCGCCGCGGCGTTGTCCTGGAAGGCGTGCCCGGGCAGCTTGACCACGAGATGGCTGGAGAACTTGGTGGCGGAGGTGGAGTCCAGCAGGACCACATGCTGGCGGGCATCCATGCGCAGCTGGAACTTGTTCCTGGTTATTGAGATAGGATATGGGGGGTGGGGCCCAAGGTGCGTGCAGCCATCGAGAGTAGCTATATGGAACAGAGTATGGGTCGGGGATCAGGTACATGGAGGCGTCCAAGAGAGGAGGCACCAGAACCAGGAAACCGGTCCCCAGGGTCCAGCCTGCCCGACCCTGCGACTGACGCCGAGGGCCTGAGCCAGCATCACAATGCACACCCCCGAGCCTGGCCCTCACCAGAGGCACTTTTGCACGAGCACCAGTAATCGCTGCGTGAGGGCCTGGCCATCCACGCCGGGGTTGAGCTCAATGGGGAACTCCAGGTCGAAGTAGAGGTGGCAGGGGTGCCCCTCGCGAATCACCTGCAGCAAGGGGGGGGAGAGCGGGGGTTTCACGCAGCTGGGAGAGGCTGATTGAGTGAGGCCAGGCACCAGCAGCGATCTGTCCTCTCCCCCACCATCCTCACGCTGCTCGCCCAGATCCTGTGCAGCAACCCTCCCTCCCCAGTCCTGGGTGCGCGCACCTCATACCAGTGCCGCTGGAGCGCGGGCGTCTGGTGATACTGCTGCCACACGGCGGGGTAGGAAGCCGCCGCGAAGGAGCGGTAGAACGCGCCCCCCCTGAATCACGGCAAGCGGTGCGGACTCATTGTCGACGGGCAGACAGACAAGAGGTGCGCTTGTGAAGCGGGTGGCTTGCGAGCACCCTGATTCCTTGGAACCCCACTCCTCTTACCACCAGCACCACCCACCTGCCGCTGCGCTCCACGCAGAAGACGTGCACGGCAGGCTGCCTCAACGGCACTGGTGCTACAGCTTCGGGCTCAGGCTCACCGTCGGCCCCTGGACGGGCATCGGCCTTTGCAGGGGGCGACTCGCCGCTCGACTGAGACTGGCCAGCCTCGCATGCCTGAGAAGCAGCGCCCTCCGCCGCAGTCTTCAGGGTGCGCAGCGCCTCCCGGAATCTCTGGTGCGAGCCGGCGGCATCCGGGCCCCAGGCGGCGGCCGGAACGCGCGGCACGGGGCTCTTCCTTGGCACGTTCTCCTTCAGGCTCGCCAGGGCGGCCCGGACCGGCATCAGCGCGGGTTTCGGGGCTGCATCGGGGACAGGAAATAGTTGAGGGAGTTCCAGTACCGCCTCGGCTACCAACTTGCCGCCAGCGGCCACCCGTGGGGCAAGGGTGACCAGGAAGGGCTGGCTTGCGTTCTGGGCATCCGCAAACGCAAAGGCCTCGGCCTGAGACGCAAAGGTGCGAAGGCAGGAGCAGAGGTGGGGCGGGCACCCTACCGCGAGCTGGGCCGAGTGCTGGCTGGGGACAAGGCTCGCCGGGGGGTAGATGGCTGGGTTGCTGGGCAGGCCGACCGGGCCCGCAGAGGGCAGGCCGACGGGTGCCCCTGCGTCGACTCCAGGCTCAGGCTCGACGATGCAGGAGGGAGTATGCATCCCCGGGCCTGGCGTGCCCACTCCCAACTGCCCAAGCAGGAGCTGTGCCTCCAGCCGGGCCTCCTGTGTGCCGCCAGAGAGTTGGCTCCAGCTCGGTACCGCACCCCCTCCCCGCTCGATCTGGGTGAAATCTGCAAAGTCCAGCTCGGAAGCAAGCCATGGACTGACTTGCATGTCCAGTGCCTCTTCCTCCAGACACAGCTGTGAAAAGGAAAAGGTGGGCTCCTCAGCTGGCTCTTCTGCAGGCGCCGATGTCGTCGATTTGGTGGGGCACAGCTGTAGACCAGCACACGGTCCTGTGCCATGTGCATGATGGGAGTGGGCTGATGGTCAGGGAGGGAACTGTCCTGATGCTGTCATCGGACCTGTAAAATGGAGTAGTCATGATTACCTTTGTGGCGAGGCAGATTCTCCACTGGCAAAGGCACTGGATTGAGTGATGCAGCCTTTGAGGGACTCTTCTCCCTCAGCAAAGATGGGTAAAGTACCGCCTGCCGGTGTGACTTCCTTCCTCTGCTTTCCTTTGCGGACTCGATGTGAGCCAGTAACTTTTCGAGTTGCTGTGCCCACGCCTTCTCCTCCTCAGGGCTGGCCATGCATGAGGTCCCTCGGACAGTCGCCGAGGGGCATCCTGGGCTACTCGAATCGCATGGTCGAGAGAGTCCTAGCCGCGGAATGTCGCTGACTTGACGCACATCCCGGGCCTGCTATTTCGGCCAAAATCGAAATGGAGATGATTATCGCATCACGCGCAGCACGCTTTCCCTGTCGGCCAATACGATTCATTTGTGAACTGTCAATAAGTGGCACATGCAATGCCGAAAGCGATAGGAGGTATTGATCATGCCACTGATGTACTGAATCTTCCACGAAAATGTCCCCAAATGCTGCGAGCCCCCCTTGGGGGCAGGGCGGCAATACTTGTCGAGACGCAGCAAGGCCCCAGCTTTGAAGAGCGATGGGCTCGAGCGCAGCGGTGAGAATCGATAATGACTTCCTATGTCGCTATATGGTGGCTTTTGATAAGTAAGAGGTATTCCATGGCTTGTTCATGTCCTGGGCTAACACCGGACGAGCCGGTCCGCAGGGCCTTGCTCGCGAGTGGGTCGATATTCTGGAGGTGACTGAGCTTTCCGAGGTCACTCAGCTGGAGAAAGGCGTGTACTATCTGGTGCCAGCCTCTCCCGATACCTTCCCAGCCAAGGTGAGCATGCAGATGAGGCAACAATGTTTGGTACATGGCGGTCTGAAATGTCCCTGATAAACCTTCACCCAACATTGCATGTTGAGCTCCTCTCGAGCAGGTTGGCATCAACGAGCTGGCCAGCGGTCTTCCACTGCTGGCCATGGGAAGGCTGCTGTTTGCAGATCTGACCCTGCATGAGCATGACGGCACAGCTGGGCCGTCCAGTCAGCATGCTCGCGTCACATCCGTGTTCCAGGCAATCAGCTCCCTGTGCTGGTCAGGTGACCATATCCCCCAGCTCAAGGTGAGTGCTGGTGATTCACATGGCTGATTGGGCCTGCCTCATGGGGAGAATGTGCGGAATAAGAGGTTTGGCTGTCCAAGGAATGGGACGTAGCACGAGTTGTGGTGGAAATCAATGCTCCCAGCTGTTAGTCTTATCCGGGTCAGGATCCTAAAGCATGGACGATTTCATTCCAGGGCTCAAATTCCAAATGCTTCCGCATCAACATCGCTCCTCTGCCTCTTGCTCAGGCCCAGGTCCTGACTGATGATAGCTTCTGCGACATGCTTATGGACGCCGTGGACATGGTGCTCCTGACCCTTGCGGGTCCAGCTGCAAGAGGGATCCTGGAAGCTGCTACGAGACAGGACACTGTGCAGGCAAGGCTTGGTCCCCTGCATCAAACAGTCCGCCCTGCCGCATCAGAATAAATGGATAGGTGGGGGGGGCCAAGGCATGACCCACGACCTGCAACCCTGCTGCCCAGGGGTGGCCTGTGTTGAGTATAACGATGCTTTCCCTGAGTGGCTTGGCTGTATACCCAAAGCTTCCCAGTCTTGGGGGGGGGTGCTCCTGCGCCGGGCCAGCGCCGGCTGTGTCCCGTTGCGGCCCCTCACAAGCGCCCTTCTCAGTATCTGGGGGAGTCTTGCAATGCTTCCTCTTGCTCTTCTTGCTCATCATCCCCCAGCCCAGACACATGTGTCGGCACACCCACTCAGCTCCCCACCCCCACCCCTGCAGGCGGCGGTGGACTCCCTCGGCATGCTGGCGGCCGCGCTGCGCGCCTTGACTTACGCGGGCTCGGCCCGGCGCGTCGCGCCCGGCGGGGAGGGGGAGCCCACTGTGTGCTGGCACGCCGTGGCGGAGGCGGTGTGCGCCGCGCCGCGCGGGCCCATCTTCTTCGCCGCGGCGTTCGACGCCGTGCGCCTGGGCGTGCGCGCTGTGCACGCTGCGGTGCTGGGCGGGGAGGTCCGCGGGCCCGCACTCGAAGCTCTGGCCTTCCACGTCGGTGCGCGCGTGCGGGGCGGAGGGGGCGGGGCTGGCAGCGCCCGATGGGCCTCTGGGAGCCCCAGGGTTGGCCGCCGTCCTAGACGGCGCCCGACTCGTGTTCTATAAAGGATGCGCCTCCAAAGCCCGTCCCCCTCCTCCCCTCTTCACTCGCACCACAGGTGCCGCGATGGAGCTGCTGTCCTACCTTGCGGCCACTCCCCTCTTCTACCAGCGCCTGATGCTGTGCGATGCGCCCTGCGCCGCGCCTCTGCGCCTGGTGCTGGCCTGCCTGACACTGCACGCCCCGCCCCTGGCCGTGCCGCCCTGGTCCTGGGAGGGGCCGGGCCGCCTCGTCCCAGGGCCCGAGCCCCACGCGACCGCGGCGGCGGGGGGCGGGCTGGAGCTGCTGGCCGCCCGCGGCCTGGCCCTGCTGCTGACGCTGGCAGAGCCGGAGAGCCCCGCCTTCACGGCCGCGGCGGCGGCGGGGCCCGGGGCCGGCACGGCCCGCGCGGTGGGCGCCCAGACACTGCTCGCTGCGGCCGCGCTGCTGGAGCAGGTGCTGCTGCGCCCCCCGAGCGTGCGCCGGCCCGCCGCGCCGGGCGAGGCGCAGCTGGCGGTCAACGCGCTGCGCTGCGCGGAGCGGCTGGCCGACGACGCCGAGCACCGCGCGCGCCTGGCCCGTGCCGTGCACCCCGCCCTCGCCCAGCTGCTGGCGCAGGACCCGGCCGCCTTTGCCGACGCGTGGTGCGCGGGCGCGGGGGCGGAGGCCTACTTTACCCGCGACGACGTGCTGGTGGACAGCGTCGGCCCGCGCGCGCTGGCGGCTGCCGAGGCCCTGGACGCGGCCGTCGCGGTGGGGGGCGATCCCGGCGAGGAGCACGGCGAGGCGGTGCCGGGCGGCGGGGGGCCGACGCGCCTGCCGGCGCGCCGCCTGGCGCTGGAGCGCGCGCTCCTCCTCTTCCGCCTGCTGGTCAACCTGGACTACGTCCCGCCGCCCAGCGACGACGCCGGCGCGGCGGGCGGCGGGGAGGGTGGCGGCCGCGTGGAGGAGGGCAGGCGCCCCTCCCGCGGCGCCACGACCGACCCAGTGAGCCCCCGGACCCCCTCGCCCTTCCTGGAGCAGCTGCTGCGCGTGCTGGCCTCGCTGCCGGCGCCGGCGCTGAGCCGCGCCGCCGCGAATGTGGGCCTGCTCGGGCGCGCGGTGGCGCGGCTGGGGCCCGGCGCCGCGCCCCGGCCCCTGCTCTCGATGCAGGACCTGGAGCTGGGGGCGGACCTGGAGGCCGCCCTGGTGCGGGCCGCGCAGGGGGGCGGCCACCTGCGGCCCTCCTCCGCGCAGTGGGCCGAGCCGGCGCCCAAGCGCGAGCGCCTGGCCTGAGGCGGTGATGCCTGGGTGAGCAACTTCCTCGCAGTGGCAGAGGAAGCAGGGAGTAGTTGAGGGGTTGAGCGACAGGCAGGGCACTTGGTTGGCGCAAGCATGGTAGATGTGCGAGCTGTTTTGCTCTGGTGCCTCGACACAGCAGCCGTGTGGATCAACAGACGAGCGAGGGCAATGGCGTGCAGAAGGAGGCAGGGAAGCCGGGGGAAATGCCATGCAGGCAGAGACAGATGCAGGAGGACAGCATGGCGATGCAGTGTGGTGAGCAGCACCCAACGTCGCGCCCGCTTACGCTGAGCGCAGCAGCGGAGTCATGCCGCGTTGCAGCTGCGCGCGGCGCAGCCGCAGGCCGACGCGGCGGCGCCCTGGCCTAGCCACGGCGTCTCCAGCGGGTCTAGGGTGGTGTCCTTGTAGATGAGGTAGCGCGTGGGCTGCGTGCCCAGCGCCGCATACCACTGGGGCACGTAGGGCGCCATCCAGATTACGTCCCCAGCCTGGGGAGGAGCGGTGGGGGGTGGGGTTGGTGACTGTGAGCATACCACACCGAGGCATATCATCCTCGAAACCTTTCACGTGCCCACGCCAGGCTGTCGGAGGGGACGGCGAGCTGGAAGCATCTGCATACCCAGACTGGGGCTGGATCGCAGGACGAGGTTTGGCGATCGCCCCCTTTGCCCAGCTGCAGAGACGCTTCCCGGGGGGGGCTAGCGATCCAGCCCCCGCATGCCCGCCACGCTGTCCCCCAACACACACCTGGACGGCGTGCCAGTCCTCGTTGAGGCGGTAGATGCCCTTTCCCGCCAGCAGCAGGAGGCCGTGCTGGTTGTAGTGCATCTCCTTGACGTTCAGGTGCTCGCCCGGCGAAAAGTCCATGATGTGGATGTTGAAGTCGTACGCGGGGTCTGGGGCACCAGCTTGCGCAGACGGAACACCTCGCCCGGCACTGGGAGCAGGGGCGAGTCCTCGGTGTGCCCATGCACGAAGTCAGGCGAGCCCTGTGATGTGTCGGGGGCAGGTGAAGGGGGCCGAGAGACTGGGGACAATGACAGGTGATGTTGGGCGCCCTATGACCTGTAAGGAAGACTGCCAGCAGCGCACATGATCACAGCAATGTCCAGCACACTGCAAGTTATCACACCTCCAAAGGGTATCGATACAGGGTATACACCCATTTCAACACCCCAGGTTCACCTGCCCTGCATAGCGCCGCTCAAAGACCAGGAGGCTGGCCTCACTGGATGTTGACAGGCTGTGCGTGATGGCGGGGGAAGAGGGGAGGGGTGGGAATGGAGTATCCGGCGACTGAGTGTGCACCTCCAACATCTACATGGTTCATACATCCACCAGCACATTGTGGTGATTCGTTGGGCACAACTGGCCCGCTCACCTGTGCTCCTGACCGGGCGGGAGGTAGGCATAGTCATTATAGGTCAGCTGCACGGGAGCATTTTCTCCGACGACATCCAGTGTCAGCTCTCCGCCCAGCACAAAAATAAACCTGCAGAAGGCGACTGGTTGATTTTTGCACAACTTCCAGGCTGAGCGTGGCTGGCCGGCCCAGCACCGAGCCAGACAAAGCATACAGATGGTATTGACGTGGCCCGCGGTCATTCCACATGGAGAGCGCTGCATTGTCAGCCGTAATAATCACCTCTCGACCCCGGTCGCTGGGGATGTGCCTGTGGAGTTCAGGCCCAGTTTGGCAAAGAACATGGCAAAGTTGGCCTTGACCGCTGGGGAGATGAGATGTGCAGTGAGAGCACCAGGCCTGTCAGGAAGTATGAGGTGGGACAATGATTGGTGCGATCCATGCAAACATATGCGTCTCAAGCACATGCTGCGCCACAGCGTGCACTGGTCGTTCGGCTGACTGCTGCACATTGCCATGCAAAACTCTGCTTCACTACCCAACAATTTTCATCGCACCATCTTGGGTGAGGCTGCCAGACTTGAGACTCAGGGGCAACGAGGGAGTATGTGTCTCGCTGTACACTTCGAGTGAACCCAGGGACATCTACGGTTGGGTTTGCTGGAGTGGTCAGAACCAGCTCGAGTTCCTGCACAGCGGTGCCAGTTCATGCGGGAAAGAAGAGCGACAAGTACATGAGAACATCACCGTCAAAGACGAGTTGCGAGGCTTTGAGCCCTGGGATGGCTGCAGTGTAGTCCCATGCTGCTGGGCAAAGGCAAGGAGGCTGGGGTTGAGGTGCGGTGGCACGCCGTGACATGATGGGCACGCGGTAGACTAAACCCACATCAGTGTGTAAGCACTCTTCACCTATTGTCGAGGTCAAAGAGCATGTCAGTAATGCTGTATAGATGGGCCAGGTAAGCAGGGCCGAGGCCATCTCTGGCCCTTGCGCGGGGTGCACGAGGGTGTGTTCGATCTCTTCGATTGGCGAGCTGAAGCTGTTCTGTTCTAGACTCTTCAATACAGTACTACCTTGCCTGGTGCCGTGATCTGGGTCTGACGCATGTGCTCTCAAATGAGGAACTCGTACCTCACACCCAAATATTACCACGTGCATCCCGATCTTTATCTTTGTCCGGGTCGTGGCTGCAACAGTTGCGTTTTACAGTTGCGGGACTAGCAGCCTATACCAATCAGGCTCTGCTAGAAATCATCGTCAAAGGCTCTTCGCCTCTGGATTGTGACGGTGGTCTTCTGCTGCGTCTGCTCGTTTACTTGTTCCAAGAGCTCAATCAAGCGATCCTCTGACACCTGCAATGCAAACAACGTCGGCAAAAACGAAACGCTGAGAAAGTGGGGAGGGGTTGACAAACCCGGCATATTGCTCCCTATGCAGTGCTTTACGAGTGGCTCTAGCGAGGCATGCTGTGCCATCCAGTTGACCTCTCGAATTGCAGACACCGGTGCAGACTCTGTCCCATTCCTCCTCTCAATCCTTCTCACCTTCTGTTGTATCTGTCCGCGGCGAGCCGCGTTCAGGATGAGGTCCTCGATGGATCGCGCCTTGTCTGGCTTGACAAGCGAGATCCTGGCCACTGCACGGGACCGAGGAGAATGCGCCAAGCTGGGTGAATCAGGCCTGTATTCTCCTCGCCCCTTTACCACTTCCCATCGCGCACATGCTTGGATACAGATCCCAACTTCCATTGTAATGCAGAACAATCCCTCCTTCTCGAAACCCACATCGTTCGCGAGCCGAGGGCTGAAGGATGGCAGCCAGCATGCCCCGCCTCTGGTCGTCGGCTGCTTCCTGTGCTTCCTGAGCGGCCTGCTGCTCCTCGGCGGACCTAGGTGCCTGAGCATCGAGCGGGGATGTGTTGATGTACCGATGTAGTGCTTTTAAGACTCCACCTGATCTAGAGACACTAGCCGACATTGTAAACCTACTCTGCCTTCCCCTCCTCCAGACCTGGCCCCCTTGCTGCGCCATGAGCTCCTGCATGCGCCGCTGGCGAATGGCCTCAAGCTGCGCATCCTCCGACTGTTCGGAAGAAGGGGAGAGTCGTATGTGAACCAGATCAGGTCGTGATCAGTGACCTGTGCCGCTTCGACTTACCATACTCGGCACTTCTCGGGGCACCTCACAGCCTTGCAGACGTAGCCAGCCTTGGTAATCACTGGTTTCCCCAAGATGCAATGTCTACAACAGGGGATCGAACAGAGCTTGCATACATGTTGCAGAGGTGACCTCCGAGAGTGGACGTGCTCGGCGTGAAATGTGGGTCCTGCCTGGACCGTGCATGACGTCAATTCCACAGGGGCGTCATTCGACATGCTTTTGAATATGTATATTTAATTTCGATCATTACAGTAACCTTTAAAGTAATGGAGAGTTGCCTCTGATTAGAAAAAGGAAGCGCGGGTGCCAGGCAGAGGAGCGTATGCGGGCGGGGCAGTAATACGATGATGGCCCTGCGTGCATGTCGCATGCGAGCTGCTGGAGTGCAGAGGGCGAGCTCAATGTTACAGACTCGCGGTGTGTGAGCTTGGATGTATGCGTGCACGCTTTGGATCGCAGCCTGCGAGGGAGTGCCTGCTGCACACAGTGGCTGGTGTGACTCCCCAACCGGACTTTGCACATCTCACGCCTCTACCCCGCCCTCGCACTCCCTCGCTCCCAGATGCCACCAAGCTCGCTGCTCGTGCGCTGTGTGCCTCCTTTGGCTCCCACCACCCCTCCCGCCTGCTGGACAATGGACCCATCGGCTTCCTGGTGGACGACCCCGCCGGCGCCGCCCCCAGCGACGACGACGCCGGGGTCACAGATGCCGATCTGTCTTTCCCCCCCTTCCCCCCTCCCTTCGAGACCCTGCCCCTGGGCGCGTGCCTGACCAGCAGCGTGCCCAGCGGCGGCGAGGAGTGGCGCTTCGAGACGGGGCGCCTGGCGCGGCTGGCCGACGGGGCCTGCCTCCTGCACGTCGGGGATACCAGCCTGCTGGCGACACTGGAGAGCCAGCCGTCGCGCTCCACCTGGCGGGACCCCCTGAGCCGCTTCGTGGTGGACTACCGTGAGAGGTTTGCGGCGGTGGGACGGATCCCCACCACCTACTTCAAGCGTGAGGTCTCGGCCAAGGACCACGAGGTGCTGGCGGGGAGGGCGGTCCAGCGCGCCATGCTGCCCCTCTTTCCACCCGGCTTCCCGGGCCAGCTCAGGGTGAGGCGGCCGAGGGGGTGGGGGGCAGCAGGGGGGGAGTACAGCACTCTGAGGGAGGATGGGGGGTCGAGAGTGGAGCACCCTGCCATGCATCGGGCCCCCACCTCCCCTCCCATCACCCCCATGACACCAGATGACGGCCAGCGTGCTGAGTGCCACCCCCGGCGCTGACCTGGAGGCCATGGCCATCAACGCCGCGTCAGCCGCCGCCGCCTGCTCCTCCCTGCCCTGGAGGGGGCCGGTGGGGGCCGTGCGTGTGAGCGTGGGCGCCGACGGGAAGCCGGCCCATGGGGCTCAGCGCCTCACATCCCGCCAACGGCGAGCCGCCCCGCCTGTCCTTGCTCATGGCGGCCACGGCAGACCAGCGCGTCACGATGCTCGACGTGGAGGTGAGGGGAGGCCGAATCGGTGGCTGGGAATGCACAGGGGTGACAGGGGCTGGCGCCATGCACCTGGTGCCGTCCTCACCCCAATCCCCGTGCACATGCCTCTGTCAAGCCCCTGTTCTGAACGTATCCACCAACCATCCCACTCCTCCCTGCGCAGGCCTGCCAGGTGCCGGAGGCGGAGCTCATCGCTGCGCTGCGCTTTGGTGCGGCGGCCGCGGCGGCCTTGGTCCCCGCGCAGGTGGGGCTGGCGACCGCGGCGGCACGCCCGCCGCCCCCCGCCGCGGCCGACGCCGGTGCCGACCCCGCCGCCGCGGCGCGCGTGGCGGCGGCGGCCCGCGAGCCCGTGCTGCGCGCGCTGCGCGAGTCGGAGCTGGGCCGCGAGACGCGCGGCGCGGCGCTGGCCGCGGCCAAGGCCGGCGTGCTGCGCGCGCTGCGCGACGCGGGCGCGGTGCGCGCGGACCCCGTGCGCGTGCCGGGGTCCGGCGCCGTCAGCCCCCGCGACCTGGACCTGGCCTTCGCCGAGGTGACGGCGCGCGCGCTGCGCGAGCTGGCGCTGCAAGAGGGCGTGCGCTGCGACGGGCGCGGCGCGGTGGACACGCGGCGGCTGCTGGCCACGCCGCGCTTTCTCCCCGTGGTCCACGGCTCCGCGCTGATGAATCGCGGCGAGACGCAGGCCCTGGTCACGGCCACGGTGGGGGGCAGCGCCGACGCGCAGAAGACGGACACCCTGTTTGATGCTGGCGGGTCCAAGCGCCTGTTCATGCAGTACAGCCTGCCCGAGTATGCCGGGGATGAGGTGAGTGGGAGGAAGACAGAGGGTGTGTGCTGGGTTCTTCTTGTACCCGAGACGGGTCCTGGCTCCGGAATTGGCGCTCTTGTCCAAGCTTTTGCCCATCGTTCAGTGCACATGTGATGAAGCATCCCCCGGACCCCACAAACCACCTTTGCAGGAGTCGGAGACCGGGCTGAGGAAGGAACTGGAGGCAGCCACCTTCTCGGAGCGAGCGCTGGCGGCTGTTCTGCCCTCCGGCCCCTCCTTCCCCTTCACCGTGCGCCTGCATGCCGAAACTTTGGCTCAGAACGGGGGCTCAACTGCGCTGGCGGTGTGCGGCGCCTGCCTGGCAATGGCGGACGCTGGGCTGCCGCTGCCCAAGCTCGTTGCAGGTGGGTGCGGGATGGTCATCGTGGGGTGGCCGAGTGAGGTCGGGTGTTTGCGAGGGGCCCAGGCATCCCTTCACATGCCCCTGGTCACGTCAAGAGGCTCAGGTCTGTTACCAAGCCGCCGCCGACGAGCAGGTCGAAAGTTTCGCGTGTACCCTCACAAGCTTCCCCAACCCCACTCAGGCGTCTGCGTGGGTCTGCTCTCAGATGCCTCTGCTGGACCCATGGGCGACGGCGACCAGGCACCAGGACCTGGCGCCCGGCTGTCCAGGTACGCGCTGCTGGTGGATCCTCAAGCCCTGGAGGTCCGCCACGGCGACATGCGCCTCAACCTGGCAGGTGGGGTGTGCTCTGGGAGGGCTAGGTCGGGCGGTGTGGCACTCCTCATGCGCCAGGGAGGTTTGTGCATGGTTTGTCGTTGTGAGCCCCGGTGTCCCCGTCCCACCACTCCTTGGCACTACCCTTGTGACTCTTGATGACGTATTCATGGTGCCCCCCCTTGCCCAAACAGCATCCTCCGCTCCTCCCCCCAGGCACCGACGAGGGCTTGACTGCCGTCAGTTTCACGGCCACGGCGCACGGCGGCGTCCCGCTGGCGGTGCTGGAGGAGGCCATTGCCCTCGGCCGCGCCAGCCGCCTGCAGGCACTGGAGGACATGGCGGCGGCCCTGCCCAAGGTATGGTTGGTTGAGGCCTGCAGGGGGCTGCATGCAGGGTTTGGGCAGGCTCCTGCAGCCTCAAAGTCTCGGGTGAATGATTGTCGACGGGCACCCAATCTGACACACACCCCTTGTCCCCCATCCACACCCCCAGACACGGCCTGCCGAGGCACCCATGGTGGGGCACGTCAAGGTGCACCCGCGCATGCTGGGCCGCATCATCGGCCCCTCGGGGTCCAACCTGCGCGGCATCGAGGAGGCCACGGGGGCCCGGGTGCAGGTTCAGGACGACGGGCGAGTGCACCTGTTTGGGCCCTCTGCCGCGGCGTACGAGTCGGCCGCCGCTCGGGTGCTGGACACCGCCGGCGACAGCATGGAGGTGAGTGGAGAGTAGGGGGGAGGAAGGGGGGGGGGATGGGTGTGCAGGTTTCCTGTGGATGATGATGAGAAGGTGGTCCTCTGTCATAGCAACCGAGTGTCACACGTTCAAGCCAGGGCCCGGAAGGTGTCGTGAGAGTCCTTGACATGCGAGCGCTTGGCCCTCTCGATGCATCGATGAGCGTCCACTCCAGGCTGGGCGGCCGCCCACAGCGCCCCGGACTCGTCCCGGTGCTCGCCCTCCCCTGCTCAGCCACCCCTCCCACACCCTCACGTCCAGGAGGGCAAGGTGTACACGGCCAAGGTAGTGGCGCTGCGCGACTACGGGGCCATGGTGGAGATCCTGGAGACGCGGCTCAAGGCCCTGCTGCACATCTCGGAGCTGGCGGCCACCCGCGTGCGCGCCGTGGAGGACGAGCTCGCCCTGAACCAGACGGTCCGGGTGCTGTGCCTGGGCCGGGATGAGGCCGGGAACGTGGTCATCTCGCGCAAGGCCCTGCTGGCCCGGGAGGCCGGCGGCGGGGAGGGCGCCGCGGGGGCCCGGGAGCCCAAGGCTGCGGGCTCCGACGGGGAGGCGTCGCCGGCCAGGAGCCCGGGCCGGGAAGCGCCCAGGAGCGCCAGCAGGGAGGGCACGCGGCCCTCTGGGCGGGAGGGTTCTTCGCCGAGTAGGAGCCGAACGCCTCCCAGAGACTCCGGCCCCAGGCGGAGGGGCTGAGGAGGAAGGGACCCCCTTGCCACGATGTTGCCCCCGCATCGCTGGTAGCCCTTGCCCGCCCCACACGCCCCTCCCACCGGACCCCATGCTGCTCTGTGACGTCGCGGGGCGAGGCAGTGAACACAGACGCACAAGTGGGCAGGGTTGCGGCGGCGATGTGGCAGAACCCACAGGCCCCTGGCTAGTCGATTTTCACGGCAGAGTAGATCTTGTGCACAAAGGCGGCACAGGCGTAGTAGCCTATCGTCCCCGTCATGGCGAAGAAGGCCAGGGTCACAATCGTCATGTAGCCTGCGCAGTGGGGTTGGTGTGTGTGTTGGGAGGGGGGGGAGGGACCCTTCAACCGCCACTCGATGTCAGGCCTCCACCTGCTCCCTGTCCCGCCCTCGTCACCAGCCAGACACACCACCGATGATCGCTCCACGCACCAAAGTACATGACCATGGGCACCAGGGCGGTGATGTCCAGCTTGGTGACAAAGTAGACGATGGAGTAGGCGAAGAGGTAGAGCGCGGAACTCCCCGCCGACTGGTACGCGCGCCAGGGCCAGTGGTAGTCCTCCGCGCAGAGCTGGAAGTAGCAGAGGACGATGGCGATCTCGGCGCAGGTGATGCCCAGGATGACGGCGACCAGGGCCAGGAAGCCGAAGAGGTAATAGAACTGGTGCTGCCACATGGAGGAGAGGATGAAGAAGAGCTCGATGAAGACGGCGCCAAAGGGCAGCACGCCGCCCACCAGCACGCCGGTGGTGGGGTGCAGATAGAAGGGCTGGGGCGGGACCTGGCGCGGGATCTTGTTGGTGCGCACCGGCGGGTCGGGGACGGCGGAGCGGTAGCCCAGCGCCGCGCCCGCAAAGCACAGCGGCACCGACACCCCGAACCACAGGGAGACCAGCGCGGCCAGCGTGCCCAGCGGGACCGCGCCGCTGGAGCGCTGGCCCCAGATCAGGAAGTCCAGCGCCAGGAAGATGGCGGAGACGACCCCGGGGAAGGCCAGCGCCGTGCGCAGCGTGGTCCGGCGGCGGTGCGCGCCGCCGTAGGACTTGTACAGGCGGGCCGAGGCGTAGCCCGCCACGCCGCCCAGCGCCACGAACAGCAGCAGCATGGCCGTCATCAGGCCGCCGCGGTTGGCGGGGCTCAGGAAACCCGCCAGCGCAAAGGCCACCGTGGCGCCGGCCATGCCCAGCAGCTGCACCCCCGTGCCCACGCAGGCCGCCAGCCAGGACAGACCGCGCGGCGCGCGAAAGACGTCGCCGTGCACAAGCTTCCAGCCGGATTCCTCGCCCTCCTCCCCGGCCTCCAGCGCGTTGTAGGTGGAGATGTCCCGGCGCAGCGTGCGCGTCATGATCATGGCGATCATGCCGGAGAGGAACAGCACAATCATGGCGCTGTTCACGATGGAGAACCAGTGGATCTGGTCGTCCAGGTTCACCAGGTACGTGTCCCACCGAGATGCCCACAGGATGTTGGAGGCCTGGAAGGGAGAGGGGGATGTGGAGCGGGAGGGGGGGAGGTATTGAGGGAGGGGGGAAGGAGGAGGAACCAGAGGGCACAGAGCAGTGATGTCTCTCCAAGAGAGGCAGGCTACAGGGTGACGCAGCGCTCGTGCAAGCAGAGGCACGATGGGCCTCAGGGCCTCCAAGCCCCGGCGCCGACTGAGCGCCAAGAATCAGCACCTGCATCCCTCCCCTCCTTCAGTGAACAGTCCCCACTACCACACAAACTCACGCGCCATCTGCAACACCCTTGCTTCCCCGCCCCCCCTCCCAGAAGCACGCACAGCCACGCACCCTATAGTTGACATCGTAGGTGAACACGACCTCCTGCCCCTGCTTCACCAGCTGGGCCTCTGCCCCCGCGGCCACGGAGGAGCCCTTGGTGCTGCTGCAGGTGGTCAGCTTGGTGTCGGCGCCCTGCCACTTGCCCTCATACTTGTGGTGCACCGACTGGGGCACCACCTCGAAGCCGACGATGCGGGCGGTGCCGCTGGCCGGGTCCGAGTGGTACAGGATGGTGAAGGACAGGTGGTTGTTCAGGATGACGGAGCCGTCCGCCTAGAGGGGTGGGAAGGGGAATTCAGGTGTGGCGTGCCGGCTGGAAATGCCGTTGAGACTCGTACACGGAAAGGGACGGAAGGGTTACGGGCGGGCAGGTGAATGGGGACGCCATGATGCTCCCACGGGATCAATTGATCAGTGTGGGGAGGCGCAGCCGGCAGCCAGGCAAGCGCAGCGCTCATGCATGCGCCGCCCCATCGGGCTGACTCGGCCAGCAGGGCCTGGCTGGGGCACGCTGTCCACACATTTGGCAGGCCTGTCCAGCCCTCAAGGCACGGCGCCGCCCTGCACCAACCCTGAGCCCCACGATCCCCACCTCTTTGAACCCCACAGGGAAGCCGCGCTCGTAGGCCTTGATCTGCTTGCCCTGGTTGGACCGAATGCGCACGATGCCAATGGGCAGGTTGTCCAGGATCCTGGTGGGGGTCATGGTCGAGTGGGGAGCGGCTGAGACCGGGGCGGCACCGCAGGACACCATACCAGCACGCTGACACGGGCCTGACCCCGGCCCTGTAAAAACCAATGCACAGCCACCTTTCCGACCCACATGTTCACGCGGTACTCGTCATCGATTCGGTTCGTGAACGCGCTGGCCTGCTTCTTGTCCAGCTTTGCGATGCGGCACAGGACCGCGCAGGACTTGGGCACACGGAACTGGGTCTGTCGAGGGGCTCGGGGGCGGTGGGAGGGGGAGGCGGCGTTTGAGTGGGGTCCCAGAAAGCCTTGCGCGAGAGACTCCTCCTTTAAGGCGCCCTTTCAGATGGTGAGACAGGGTCCGACTCCCCCCTTCTCCCCACACTGTCACACACCGTGTATGGGGAATTCAGGATCCGGTCCCCACGCAGCACCTCCCCCAGGTTTTCGGCAGAGCTGATGATTTTCTCGGGACGGCAGTAGGGGAGGGAGTAGTAGTCGTAGGGAAGGTTCTTCACCGACATGATCTTGTTCACCTTGAGGGTGACAGGGTCTCCCTGCATTCGATGCGATGGTGTGGATCGTGGGGGGAGTGGGCACGACGACGACAGGACGGGGGCAAGGCCTGGGCCCTTACCTACCTTTTTAAAGTCCTCGGGCGCGACGCCTGGCAGGTAGAACGCATGGACACTGCATGCTCCCAGGGTAAGGAGGTACAGCAGGAGGCCCGCTGCCCTGCGAGCCATGGCCGGGGGGCCTGAGCTGCGCTCCGCTATGGGCTCAGCAAGGAGAGATCTCGAGGGCGGTCAGGTCGGGAGGGGGACCATATCCGACCTTGGACAAGCTCCTGTAAGCAATAGGGCATTCAGCATCGGGTAGAGGGAGTGCACCCTGATGTGAGCGGGGCATCGACACGTATTGAACATCCTTCAATGTGTGCAGTACCAGGTGGGGGGGATCCCACTCCCCGAGCTGGTGTTACGTTCGGGAGATCGACGGCCCGCACCAACTTCGGAGGCCCACGCAATCTCGACAAGTCCCAGATCTATCTCTTAACTATCTTGACAATTTAAGCTTTCATCGCCGGTGTTGGCATGACCTCTCCAGTCCTCCACTTTGTAATCGTGGGCCAAAACGACCACCCCATCTTCGAGGCAGACCTCAGCAGCAAGGCGGGCGATGCCAGTCATAGAGAGGTATGCCGGCTTTGTATTTTATCACCGGATTGCATGCGTTGCTTCGTTGGTTTCAGCCATGGGGTCCCAGCTGAATTGTGATCCGTCATTGCCCCCCCCCTCCTCACACAACATGTCAGGAACGGCCCCAGTACCTCTACCATTTTGTCCTGCACGCCGCGTTAGACGCCGTGGAGGAACAGGAATGGGCCTTCCCGTCCATGCACCTGGGGGTGGTGGATCGATTCAACAACTTCCAGGTCTCTGCATACTCTACAGCAGCGCACATCCGTTTCATGCTGCTCCATGATGGGCGCAGCGATGATGCCATCAAGAGCTTCTTCAAGGACGTCCATGAGCTGTACCTCAAGGTGGGAGCTGTGTGGATGTAGGCTGAGCTCTGCTGGGCTGCAGGAACCTGGCAGCTGGGGAGGCATTGCTTGCTGCATTCGGGATGGCGGCGCTTTCGTACACCCAGGCGATGGATGGGTGACTGGTCTGGCCTGAACCATATTTCGAAAGGCATGATATGCTCCAATCCCTCCTCACCACAAGGATCATCTGCGCATCACTGCAGGTCATGATGAATCCGTTCTTTACCTTCAGCAGCAAGATCACCTCTGCGAGCTTCCACCAGAAGTTGAAGCAGCAGGCACGCCTTTACTTCCGGTGATGCTGAGTGGTATGACGAGGCAGCATGACCCAAAGCTCGTCATACCCAGCGCAGACCTATTTCAACCTGAAACATCCACTGACAGCTGGCCTCCTGTCCTATTTTGTGCTGTACATGGCATCTACCTGTATGCATCCATGCGTGACCTTTGCTTGCGTGGCAATCTGTCAAGGTTGCCCTGTCATTTCTGCAAGATCTGTTCTGCGCCGCTTGGCCCTCCAGCATCAGTCTGTATACCCCCTCCCGGGTGCCATTGCACGGATCTCGTAGGAACGATCCCCGCCGCATGCACAGCAGCATCTCCGCCATCACCCCCCGGAACTGACCGTGCCGAGAGACTCATGCCGCAACTTGCACCCGATCGCAGGCTACAACCATGATCGATGGCATGGAGCGCCCACCCCCACGCCGAGCCTCCCTTGTCGCTGCGTTGCGGGTGTCGGCGGGTGACGGGCGTGCCGTCCTTCAATCGCCGCGCGTCCCCAGCCATGCGGACCCGGGGCTGTGCCCCGATCGGGATGCCGGCCGGCAAGGGTTGTACTGCTAGATAGGACGCTGACTTCGCCGGGGCCATGGTCCGGGACGCCATCATCACGTCAAAGGTCGTGCAATACAGGGTGTCGTGCTGGCACGCCCATTTGCTGGCACTCCCTCAGATCACGGGGCCACTTTGTGCTCCATGATCGCTCACCCCCCGCCTCCCCCCCCCCCCCCACAGATGCCCGAGGTCATGGCCGAGTACGAGTCTGGTGGCGGCCCCCCCGAACGCGGCGCCTGCTGCTCCTGCCGCCCCGAATCCCTGGCGCGCTGGGTCAACGCCGCGCGCTTCGCCTGCGTGGCCTCGCTGGGCCTGGTGGCCGCGGCCAGCCCCTGGGCCCTGGCCACGGCGGAGGCGGTGACCATGACGCTGCTGTACGCGCTGACGCTGCCGCGCAAGGCGCGCGACGCGCCCTACGCCTTTGCCGCCTCGGCCGAGGACGTGCTGGCGCTGTCCCTGCTCCGCGCCGGCCTGGTCCTGGTGTGCCACTTCTGCGGCACCGGCGGCCTGCACCAGCGCCCCTACCTCTACGCGGCCACCGCCCTGGGCTGCATCAGCCTGCCCCTGGCCATGTTCAAGACCGCGGCGCTGGAGCAGGGACCCCTGGCCCCCGCCAAGCACCCCGCTTTCTTCCTCTTCTTCCTGCTCCACGCCGGCTTCGCGCTGGCGCACATGGTTGCCGCGCGCCAGGTCAGCATCTGGGCGCGGCGGCGGCACCGCCTCGGACTCACGGGCCTAGGCTACCCCTGGGAGGAGGGGGAGGAGACCTGGCTGCTGGCGGGGGAGCTGTCGGCGCGCGCCGAGCTGGACGCCCTCCAGCTCAGCGCCGAGGACGGGGGCGCGTTGCTCCAGGCCAGCGACTCCCTCTTCATGACCGACTGCCTGGGGGTGACGGTACACTACCGCCTGGTGCACCCGCAGGTGGGTGGGTGGGAGGGGGGGGGTGTGTGTGGAGGGGAGAGGGAGGGGGGGAGCGGGAGGAACGGCAAGGAGGGGGCTTGACGTGCTGGTGGATTGTGGCTACCGCCTGGTTTTCAAGGATCACCATCTAGCAGGCTCCAGTGGGTGCACTGCGTCACCAATCCCCGCCCCTCCCCCCCCCCAAAAAAAATCAAATCTTCAACCCGCAGGGGCAGCCTCGGGCCACGTCCACGGTGATACTCCTCCTGCACGGCTTCGGCGGGGGCGTGTTTGCCTGGCGCCACGTGATGCGCCCGCTGGCCGACGCCAGCGGGCTCAGCGTGCTCGCCTTCGACCGGCCCGGGTTCGGGCTGACTTCGCGCCCCCCACGCCCGCCAGACGCGCCAGGCGGCAACCGGCACAACCCCTACGCCCAGCGCTTCCAGGCGCGCATGACCCTCGAGCTCTGTCGCCGCCTGCACATCGCTAGCCTCGTGCTCATGGGTGGGTTTTGTTGGTCGTGCAGGGGGCGGGGGTGAGTATGGCTGGTGAGGGGTTCCCTGGAGGGGTGCAAGTATTGAGCGAGACTGGAGCTGGATGGTGGACAGGGTGGCTCAGGGGATGGCTGTGACAGGTCACATGACGTTTTGTGGCGCCGCTCCAGATGCGGCGCCCAACGCTACAGCTGTTCAGCCCCGGATTCCCAGCTGGGACACTGATCATCCATCCGTGCGACACCCCGCTGTCTCAGCCGCAGGGTATGGCGACGGCGCGCTGCTGGCCCTGCGCGTGGCATCTTCCTGCACCGCACACCGCGTGGCTGCCCCGCCCGGCGGCGACGCCGGCGCCAGACCCTCCACGCGGGACGGCTCGGCGCACTCCCAGCGGGAGGGGCCGCCGCTGGCCAGCAGCGGCACCACAGGCTCCCCCGGCACCCCGCCGCCCCCACCCTGGCACGCGCCTGCGCCGCCCGGGCACCCCCCGCCGGGGCCGCGCCGCGGCGGCCCCACCTCGCCCGACTGGGCGGGGTCGGCGCCCGAGCAGCAGGCGCTGCTGGCCAGCTTGCTGCGTGGCGAGTTTGTCCCCAGTGCGCACTGGCCCCTGGGCACGGGGGCCAGCGTGCGCGCCGCGCGGGGCGTCGTCGAAAGGGATGCGCCCGTGAAGACAGCGCCGGGGTCGCGGGGGTCGCCCGCCTCCGACGCAGGGGCGGCCGTGCCCAGTCCCACGGACCCCCCCAAGCCCGCGGCTATGCCCAGGGCGGCGGAGCCGTCCCCCTTCTTGCAGGCCGCGCTGGAAGCCAAGCCGGCCATGCAGGGGTCCACGGGTGTTGCGAATGCAGCACCATCGTCAGAGCCGGCGCCGGCGCCGGAGCTGGAGCGGGCGCCCAGCATCCTGCCGCCAGGGCCGCCGCTGGTGCGGGGCGTGGCGCTGCTGCACCCCGATATCTCCGGCGTCCCCGCGCCCCTCTACGCCCGCGTGCTCGCGCAGAGCAGGTGCGGGCCATGGACGAGGGGAGGGGTGTGTGCAACGAGCGCAGGCAGAGCCAGTGTGCACACCTTTGAAGGGGCATGGGACCTACCAACATGGCGCAGAGCTGCTGAGCCTGCAGGCGATGAAGGCGGAAGGCGCCGGATGCCTGGCCATCACACCCTGCTCCGCCCTCGGCCATATGTCCAGCACCCCCCTTCTCAACACACACACTCACACCTTCTCACACACGACCACCTCGCAGGCTGGGACGCCGAGCGCTGGCGGGCCTGCTGCGGACCGAGGTGGGCCCCGTGGCCAACCGCCGCGCCTGGGCCGACCCCGCCGCCCTCACGCCCGAGGTGCTGGCGCTGTACGGCGCGCCGCGCCGCCTGCGCGCCTGGGACGAGGCGCTGGCGGCCACCTGCCGCGTGCCCGTGGACGTGCACACCGCGGACCGCAACCGGCTCTGCGCGCGCGTGCGCGCGCCCGTGTGCCTGCTGACGGGCGAGGCCGACGCGTTTGTCACCCCGGCGGCGCTGGCCGAGCTGGCACGGCGCTTCCCGGCTGACGCGCCGCGCGTGGTGCTGCCGCGCTGCGGGCACGTGTCGCACGAGGAGGCGCCGCGCGGCCTGGTCCAGGCCATGACCGCCTTCCTGCAGCGCCTGTGAGGGGCGTGCGGGGCGTGGGGCTGGCTCGCCCGTGACCGGGGTGGCTGGCGCCGCGCGCTGACGTGTCTGAAATGGCGGCCAGACCGGTCGACGCCCTGTGACTCGTTGCTCGTCACCCCACCGACACCGTGTGTCTGCTTCTTGCCTCCACCCCAATCAAGTGCAGCTTGTGGAGGTTGCTCCCTTATTATTTTAGCAAGCTGTCCCTCCAACGCCAAGATCCTGGACCCAGTGTATCGCCACGGCCCTTTCCCCCGAGGTGACTCCCAGGTTCCCGCCCTCCCGCGAGGCTGGGTACGGCATGCGCAGGTCATGTGGAAACAGATACCTCTGTCCACCGCCACTCGACCAGCACGTTGCACACCGTCCTTGAAGGTTGTGCAAGGGGCCTTGACCCCTCACGCGCGTCAGACAGCCGCATTCCTGCCCGCGCAGGGCCACTAGGACCCCGCCTTGCGTCAGCCGAACGCCGGGCACTCCAACACCCAGTGCGACACCAGAGCAAATCGGCGGAATTCGGTTCCTCCAGAGCTATCTAGGGGACATCGAGGGGCGCTGGGTCGGGCCGACAGCAAAGCGCGATCGCTTTTGCCTGCTCAGCAGGCACGGCGAGTAATCTGACGGTCATGGAGAAGCGCATGGCATGGACCGCCAAGGTCCTGGTGGGATATACCGTCGATGCCCAGGTGAGGCATCCCGGGGCGCTGGGAGGGTGCCTGCCATCCAGATCGATACTCCACTTCCCGAGCACCCGTACCCGACCTGCGACATGAGCCTCCCCTGGGATCTCGACTACCCGCAGACAAAGTCGGGAAAGACATATAGAGGAATATTGAGCTCGATCAGCAGCGACAAGGGCGCACTGGTGGCCCACCTGAGCATGACCACCCTGGTGCGGGATGCCAAGGTGCAGGGCGAGCTCCCGGTGGTCCGCCCCACGCCCACCCTGGCCCTGCCATGGCTGGACATCGTGTCTATCACTGCCAAGGGCGCGGCATTGGGAGCGGAGGATGTGAGCACGGCCTCCACACACAACGGCATCGAGGGATTGGGCACCGACGCCGACATCTCACGTGGCCGCGGCGGGTGAGTTGGTGTGTTTGTGTGCGAATGGGTTGCTGAGTTTCTTGTACACAATGCTGGCCTGCAATCATGAGTGTGCATGCATGACCGTAGATCTGGAACAGATGTGTGTTGTCAGGGACTTGCCTGACAGATGGAACCTGGGCCTCCCGTTCAATGTCCCCTTGGGCCTCCAATCCCGTCACCTCCCTCCCCTCCCCCCTCCTCGTCCACAGGCGCGCAGACCGCGAGCTGCAGCGCTGGGTCCCCACCGCCGACGAGGCGGACCTGGGGTCCCTGGAGGGACTGGAGGGTGCCCGCGGCGGCGGCCGCGGCGGCGGCAGGCCTAGCGCGTCGCACGGCGGCCGCGGCGGCTCCGGCTCCAACTCCGGCTGGGATCAGTTCGCACTGAACGAGGCCAAGTTTGGCGTGCGCACCGACTACGCCGAGGAGTTGTACACCACGGCCCTGGACCCGCGCGCCTCCACCATCAGCGCGGCGGAGGCGGACCGCATCGCGCGCGAGATCGAGGGCGGCGGCGCGCATGGCAAGGCCGGCGGCCTGGCGAGCCGCCACGTGCTGGAGGAGCGGGGCTTGGCCGTGCTGGACGACAGCGGGCTAGACGAGGAGGACCTGTACGGCGCCGTGCTGCGAACCGATGGCCCGGGCGGCGCGGCCGCCGGCCGGCCCGCGGCCAGCGGCGAGCGCAACGGTGCGGGGTCTGGCGGGTCCGCCCGCCCGGGCGCCTCCGCGGCCGTGCCGGTGCCCAAACCCGCGGCCTCCCGCTCCGCGCCCATCGACATTGATGCGCGGCGAGAGACCAACAAGCTGCGCGCGCAGATGATGGAGGGCAAGAAGACGTCGCCCTACGGCACGCCCAAGAGCCTCAAGTCGCCGCTGGCCTCGCCCCTGATCAAGTGAGCGAGGGCATCGTGGAGGGGACTGGGTCTTGGGGGGGTAAGACAAGCGCTGCATCTGGTGGAATAGGAGGGGTTGGGGCTGTGGTTGCCATGGAGGGATGAGCCATGCTTGCATTCGAGCCACAGAGGGGTCCTCCAATTGGACGGGGGTTGCGCGGCGCCCGATGATGAGGGGACAGCTGGGCCCTGCACAGCGGTGCCACTTGGCTGAACCAGATTACATGGAAGTCTCATCCCATCACCCCTTCTGCCCACCCAGCGATGCGGCCAAGCTAGAGGCGCTCAACCTCAACCCTGGCACCACGGTGGTGGACGAGGAGGTCCGACGGGACTTCCAGCAGTTCAAGGCGGCCCAGAGCCAGCAAGTGAAGAGGTGTGGAGAGAGGGGAAGGGGCGGGGCCGGGGTCTGGTGCGCTGGCTGGAAGTGGATGTGCCTGTCTGCTTGGGATTGTACTGGCAGATCATCGTCCCAGAGTTGGGTCGCTGACTGGGTCCAACTCGCCTCGCTCACCCTGAGCAATCACCTTAGCATTCCCACCCTGGTTCATTCTTTTTTACCCAAGCAGGCCGGACCTGCACGAGTTCAAGGCCTTCAGCCAGACCCTGGACAACCGGCTGAGGTCCGGGGCGGCGGGGTCGGCCGGGTCGGGCGTCACCAGCGGCAGCGGCAGCGTGGGCGCGCCCGGCGGCGGCGAGGATGCCGCGCCGCGCCCCGCGCCCGCGGCAGAGGCCGCGCCCGCAGCGCCGCCCTCCGGCGCCGCGCCCGCGCTGCCCGCGGCCAAGCCGACGACGTCGGGCGGCCTGAACCCCTTTGCCAAGGCGTTCACCTTCAACGCCGGCGCGCGCGAGTTCACGCCGTCGGGCGCCGCGGCTCGCGCGCCGCCAGCGCCTCCCGCCGCCGCCGCCTCGCCGGCGCCCCCCGCGCACGCGTCCTCCTCGGCCGCCTCCACGCCCACCAGCAGCTCCGGTGCCGGCAGCTTCGGGCGCAGCGGGCTGCGCCCCGGCGGCCCGGCCCCGGCCACCGGCCCGGAGGGCGGCTTCCGCACCGGGCGCAGCGGCGGCCCGCGCCCGGGCCCCGGCGACGGCTACCGCGAGGGG